TTAAACTCTCTAAATTCTGTCTTTGCTCTTAAACTCTCTATGTATTTACAGGCACTTCCGACAGAAGTTTAAGATCTATCTTCTCTTTCTTCCTGAGCTGCTCTTTCTACTTTGTCTCTTTGGGTATTTGGTCTTCATGATCTTTTTCAAATGGCTGGCGTTCTCAGTGCGAGACTCACAGCTGGCTCCGAGCATTCTCATCCACTTTATCAACATGTTCCTAATGCAGGAGAGCGCCACTACAGCCCTTTACCCTGGCCAGGTGTGTGTGTGTGTGTGTGTCTGTGAACACTAGTGTGAGCACTTCCTTCAATCTGCCTGATGTCTGTGTTTGTGTTAATCCTCTTGTAACAGATTGGACTGCAGGTGTTTCTAGTGGTGGTGGCTCTGCTGTCAGTGTCAGTGCTGTTATTCGGGAGACCTCTGTACCTCTACTGGCTGCATCATGGCGGGAAGAGTCTGGGGGTCCACAGGGTGTGTCTGTGTTCTTGTGTATGTATGTGTTCGTATCTGATGTCACATGATATTGCATGGTACATTCATGGTCTGTTTGGTCCTACTAGCTCATACTAAACAACTAAATCAACAGAAAAATAGAATACATTATTATGGCTGTAGATCACATTAAAATACGGTAACACTTTATAGTAAGGTCCCATTAGTGCATATATTAACTTACATTAGCAATGAGCAATATATTTGTTACAGTATTTATTAATCTTTGTTAATGTTAGCTCAGGTCCATTAAATTATATTAACAGAGACAACTTACGATTTTAATGATGTATAAGTAAATGTTGAAATTAACATTAACTAAGATTAATAAATTGTTAGTCTCATTTTTTATTGTCATTTCATGTTAACTAATGTAGTTAACTAATGTTAACAACTGGAACCTTATTGTAAAGTTTTACCTAAAAAATTAACAAATTAGTCGCACAAGTTTATGATTGATCATGATTAATCACACTTTACATTAAAATTAGTAATCAGTATATTTACACTTTTGATTCTTAAATAAATGTAGAATCAACATAAAGTATTTTTAAATTATTATTATAGTTATAACCCC